GGAGTGGTAAGGGAGGAGGGGAAGGGGGTAGATGGTTGATACCCAGGGTGAACCTGGTTCGGGGAGGAGAGGTCTGGGTCCAGGAGGGATACTGTGGGCACGTCTAGGGCTCGGGTAGAGGTAAGGAGTGGGGACGAAGGAAGCCAAGGTGAGAGGTAGGCAAGCTGGGGGAGGGGGCTGGGGCTGCAGGTGGGGGAGGGTCCGGGTCCTGCGGGGCGAGACTGACTCCTGGGAGCTTGTCGGCCAGTCCGTAGGGGTCTGCCCTGGGTCAGAAGTCTCGGATCAAAGGTGAATCATAGCTGGGGGTCAGGCGTGGGGTGTCACCAGATTCCCCCACCCCACCCCACCCCCACCCCCCGCAGCGCTGCCGGGAACTGCGGAACTTTTCCTCGCTGCGCGCCATACTGTCCGCCCTACAGTCTAACCCCATATACAGGCTCAAGCGCAGCTGGGGCGCCGTCAGCAGGTGAGGTTGGGGCGGGGGGAAGGGGGCTTGTCGCTGAGGCGGAACGTCCTCCCCAGCGCAGCTCTGACCTTCCCAGCCCCTGACCCCTCTCTTGACCCCCCCAGGGAACAGTTATCCACTTTCAGAAAACTTTCGCAGATTTTCTCCGATGAGAACAACCACCTCAGTAGTAGAGAGATTCTTTCCCAGGTAAAGATGGGTGTGGACCCCGAGGATCCCAGGCCCAAAAAGGGAAAAAGGGGACCTGGGGCCGGGCACCACTTGTCATTGTCAAAACATTCAGTGTCCTTTCACTCCACCTCAGTGATGACCTTCCCCTTGTTTGTGGGCAGCACCCCTGTTTTACTGCCTCTGCTTGCCCTCAGGATAGCTCACGCTCAGTTGACTGCCTTATTTATTCATTCAACAAATACCGGAAGTTACACGGAAAGGGTCACTTGAGGCCAGAGTCACAGCAAAGAGTAAAGTGTAAAAAAAAAAAAAAAAAATTGCACTAGGACTTGACTTTGATAAGCAAAACTGAAAATTGTCTGCCAACAAGTCGGACTCATTGGAGGCAAGATTGAGATTCTAATTGTAATTAGCTGCTGGTTCTTAGGGTGAATCTAGAATAGATGGAATGTGAAGCCTGTTCCTTCGGTCCAGAACATGCTTCACGTTGACCTTCTGCAGGTTTTGCTCCGCTTGCCCCTTTATTGCCCTTACCTCTGCCTGCTACCCGTGGAGCTTGGTTGCTGCTGTTTCTCCCTCGCTAACGTCGGCTCTAGGAGGCCAGGATTTTTGTCTCTTGCTCACTGCTGTCTCCCCAGCACTCAGAACAGTGCCTGGCCCAGAATAGCTGCTCAGTAAATATCTGCGAACGAATTAATGTCTCAAGTAAGGATAAGAGGTCAAGGAAGAGGGAGCTCTGAATTCAGCACCTACTGTGTGCCAGGAGACCCTACCATGAACCAGGTGGACAGGGTTCCTGCCCAGGGGGGAAATCAGGCAGTAAATAGGGAAACACACTGTGCATTAATAACTGCCTAGCAATTATATAATTAATTACCAGACAGAGCGATGCTATGAAGACAAGGTGCAGGGCATTTCCAGGGGATGGATGACAGGCCTGTGCCTTGTTCAATATTCCTTGGGTTTGGCCTTTACAACCCACTGGTAGTTGCTGAAAGCAAAACAGGCGTATATGCTGGGTCTTGAGGCATCTTCCCTGAGGGAAGGGTCAGAGAGACTCCAGGACTGCTCACTTCTTCCCTCCCTCCAGGAGGAGGCCACCAAGGGCCCCCAAGAGGAGGATACCCTCCCAGGAAGCCTGCCCCCAGTGAGTGAGGTGGTTTGGGATGGGGGCCAAGCAGGATCCTCACAGAAGGGGGTGGTACGTGATGGGGTCAGTGACAGCTGAAAGTGACTGAAGTTCTGGGGACCACAGAAACTGCCCCCGGGCCCTGTCCCCTACCTTGGCACCTTTCTCACGGACCTGGTTATGCTGGACACAGCCCTGCCGGACATGCTGGAGGTCTGATCCCTGACCCTTGACTCCTGACCCCAGCACCACTTATCCTCAGCACAGTGGGCCTCCTGACATCCCACCCTTGACCCTGCCCGCACTGCCTACCCCAGCCCCCTTAGGGCAGTGGGGCTCCTGACATCTAGCCCCTGACCTTGACCCTCAGTCCTTGATTCTGGAGGCTCCAGTTCAGACAGAGTTTGCCCCCAGGGGGATCTCATCAACTTTGAGAAGAGGAGGAAGGTGAGTGACACTGGGGTGGGCATGGGGGCTGGGGGTGGGGCAGGGGCGGGTTCTGAGAGGCCGCCCCCTCAGGAGTGGGAGATCCTGGCCCACATCCAGCAGCTGCAGAAGCGATGTCGAAGCTACTGCTTGAGCCCCCGTGCACCTGTCCTGGCTGCCCTGCGCACCCAGCGCCAGCTCAGCGAGGAGCAGAGGTGACCCCCCCCGCCCCCCCATGGCCCGGCCCAGCCCCCACCCTGGCTGATTCTGGATGGCACACTAGACCCACTTACCCCATGTATGTCTCCAACTCCTCAGACACCCTCCAGAGCCCTGACCCCCATCCTATGACCTTGCCTTTTCTCCAGCCCAAATGAGGGCCCCAGTTCACCTCTGACCTCAAATTCTGACCCCATCTGACTATCTGACTTCAGCCTTTCATGTACGACCGGCCATTCCACTCACCCGTCCCATCTGTTCTCCCCCCGTCCTGACCCTGTCAGACCTATGACCCCATTTGTAACCCCAGTCTGACTCTCTGAGCCTAATCATTTTTCCCCAGTTCTGAATAACTGACTCCAACTTTGATGTATATTTGACCATCCAACTCCACTATCCCATTTGTTTCTTTTCATTCTGTTGAATCCTTTACCCTAATCATTGACCCCAATGATTACTTGACCTTGAACTCTATCTTTGACCAAATTTTACTCCTCAATCCCACTCTGCGAATCCCTGTGTGCCCTGCCGACCAAGCCATCCCATCTCATCCCTAATAAGACCCCGATGCCATAATAACCCCTCCATTTGCTACCCTGACCCTGACATTTGGTGCCCACCTCCCGCTGCTCCCCCCACACACCCGCAGTGCAGCTCCCAACTGATCCTAGCTTTCATCTCGTTCCTTGCCGCTTCCTGGCCCCAACCCACCCCAATGTGCACCTTGACTCCTCAGCTACCGAGTCTCCCGGGTCATTGAGCCACCCGCTGCTTCCTGCCCCAGCTCCCCGCGCATCCGGCGGCGAATCAGCCTCACCAAGCGCCTCAGTGCGTGAGTCTTGGGGTGTGCCTGGGGAGTGAGGTGGGCAGAGACGGGAGGCTGCTCCTGGGCCTGGGCCTGGGCTCATCCTCATGCCTTGTCTCTGTCTTTAGAAAGCTGTCCCGAGAGAGGGGCTCATCCCCTGGTGGGAGTCCTGGGGACCCCTCCTCCCCCACCTCCAGGTGAGCATCCCAGTTAGTGAAAGGACTGGAGATGCCAGGGTCAGAGGTCAGGGCAGCCACTCGACCTCAGGCTCTGCATCTCCCCCAGTCTGTCCCCAGGGTCTCCCCCATCTAGTCCTAGAACCAGAGACCCTCCTCCTGGCAGTCCCCCGGCCTCTCCAGGGTCCCAGGGCCCCAGCACCAAGGTACTAAGCCTGCCTGTGTGCATGTGGGACTGTGGGCACCCAGGGCTGTGTGTGTGTGCGTGCGTGTGTGCGTGCGTGCGTGCATACGTGGGATTTCACAGCCAGGCATGTACATAAGAGACTGTACACATGCTGGGCTGAGCACTCTTGAGTATCTGTCCAGGAGACCATGTGCATCTCATGGCCCTATTTGAGGGACTGTCCCTCAGTCTGGCTTATGCACAGATCTGGATGAGTCAGCTCACCCGCAGGGCACTCCAGGGTGTGATTATACTTTTGCAAGGATATGCATGTCCCCAGGAATTGGCATGCCTAAAGGGGACACATGGGCATAAATATCCACAATATCCATGGGACCCTGAATGGGGCTGTTCACGGACTTGTGGGTGTACAACAGTTACGAGCATATGTGTGTACTTGCTGCTGTCTGTGCACACAGGATTTCTTGTGTGTAAAGACAGCTTTGTGCTATGTTTACGGTCATGTGTAAATTTGCTTTTGTCACAGGGCACGAAGGTCTGTATGTGGTGGGATTGCACAGATGCGGGCTTGTGAGTGCACCCTAATTGCCTGTCCCCAAGCTCCGCTTTTGTAGGGGGACATGTAACTCTCCCACCATTCAGCACCCCCCTCCACACTGCCTACAGCTGCCCTTGAGCCCAAACCTGCCGGGCTCCCGGCCCTTGACTTTGCCCCTGAGCAGCTCTCACATCCCCTTACCGGGGCAGCAGGGATCGGAGGCTCGAGTCATCCGCGTCAGCATTGACAATGACCACGGGAACCTGTATCGGAGCATCTTGGTGAGGGGGGGGGCGGAGCCGGGAACCTGCTGGGGCAGCCCTGCCCCCTGGGGCTTGGCGGTCACACCTCACCACCCACCTTCTTTTCCCAGCTCACTAGTCAGGACAAGGCCCCCAGCGTGGTGCAGCGAGCCCTGGAAAAGCACAATGTGGCTCAGCCCTGGGCCCGGGACTACCAGCTCTTCCAAGTCCTTCCTGGGGACAGGGGTGAGCAGGGACTGTGTGCAGCCTGGGCTGGGGGTTAGCTCGGAGGGCAGCGGACTGACTAGGGTCAAGGCTGGCCTAACAGGGCCAGGAGGTGGCTCTGACAGAGGAGGGGGAGGATGAAGCGGGGTGCGGGTAAGAGGCAGGAAAAATTTGTGCCTCGATTTTGCAGGGTCATGAGGTTGCCCTGGCTGTGTGAGTGAAAGGGGCAATATAGGTGTCTTCTTAGGATTTATGGGGAAATGAAATTGTCCAGGGTCAAATGGGAGAGGGAGGAAAGGAGGTTGTCTTGGCTTAAATTTGTAGGATCATGAGGTTGTTCAGGCTCAGCCTGGTGGGGTAGGAATCTAAAGGGGGTCTGGGCTTGAATTTGTGAGGAGATGAGCTTGCCCCGCCTCAGCATGGGGTCTCCGAAGTTATCTGCACTTGGCATGGGAGAGGGCCACATGGTATTGAAATTCAGGGTGGGGAGCATGATGTCGTTCAAAACAGACACAAGTAGGAGGTCACCCAGTGCTGAAGAAGGAGAGGCAAGAGGGTGACATGCAAAAGGATATGACGTGAGGTTGGTGGGACATTAGGAAGGAATATAGGAGGCTGTTTGGCTTCAGCTGTCAAGAGTGAGGGCCACAGATTGTATAGGCTGGACGTAGGAAGTCAGAAGTTGTCCAAGTTCATGGTGGGAGCAGCATGGACTTGGCTCAGAACTGGCCGAGGGAAGGGTGGGTGAGCAGGAAGTCATTGGGGATGGGTGACCTGAGTTGATCCCACCTTGCAGTGCAGGTTGTCTAGATTCCAGAGGGAAATAGCGGGAGGTTGCCCAGGCGCAAGGTGGGAGAGACATGAGGTTGTGCAGGCTTTGAGTGGGAAGTTGTCTGCGTTCCCAATGAGAGGAGAATAAGGTTGGCTTAGTGCTGGCTGAAGGGACCCAAGGTTCTGCAGAACAGACAGGTGAATGGCAAAAGGTTACCTAGGTCTTTTGTGGGGAAAGTATGAGGTTGTGCAGGCCTTTGACCATCATGTCCGCCCTGGCCAGAGCTCCTGATTCCTGACAACGCCAATGTCTTCTATGCAATGAGTCCAGCCACCCCTGGAGACTTTGTGCTGAGGCGGAAGGAGAGAGCCCAGCACACAACCACAGTCTCCTCAACCTGAGGGGGCCCCCTTCTCCCTCTAGGTCACAAGCCCCAGGGCAGCTTGAGGCCTAGCTTCTGTCACCATGGAAGTGGGGAGAGGGTTCCTCTCCCAGAGAGGTCCCTTTCTCCAGTAAAGCCCACTGTACTCTGTACCCCATGACCCCCCACCTCCAACTTTAGCCCATTGGACACCATCTCTCTGACCCTCCTGGCACCAGATCCTTATTCCAGAGCCATCAGCCCACGGGCAGCCGGGTGAAGAGCTTCGTCCCGTAAACATAGAAGGCTGGTAGGGTGCTGGGGTGGGGGGGGCGGGCAGACCCTTCCCCAGAGAAATCTTGTAACTGGCGGAAACACATCAGAACTGACAGAAATGGATGAAAATAGTGACCAAAGTTATGAAACAGGTCTGTCTTGTCTGTTCTGAGCCTGGGCCTTATGTCCTCTATTACGATAGAAATTAAAAACCAAAACCAAAACCTGAAAAAAATCTAAGAGTCTTGTGAAAGCGTTCGGGTGAGACAGGACCAGATGCGGAGGGTCGAGGGACTATCACACACACGGGGGTGGGGACTCCCCAGCATTTGGGGGCGTTATGCTTCTTTTCTGCCACGTATATGGGAGAGTGAAGAAATGAAAATCCATTGGGATCAGAGACAAATACCATCACCCATAAGTCAACAGGATGTGGAGATGAAAGGAGCGGGGCGGGGCACGGTCTCCCTGTACTGGGGTAGGGAGAGAAAACAGAGCAGGCAGAGACAAAGGGAGCCATAGCGCCACCTAGGACACAGTCATAACCAGCAACAACCACAATCAACAATAATGTGTTCACTGAGGAACTTCTACTCTGTGCTGAACATCAACTAGGAGCTTTATAGCTCACTGTTTTTTTTTTTAATTTCTAAAAATTATTTAAAAGATTTTTATCTGTTTATTTGAGAGAGAGAGAGAGAGCACGAGCAGGAGGGAGGGGCAGAGGGAGAGGGAGAAGCAGACTACCCACTGAGCAGGGAGCCTGTCACAGGACTCGTTCCCAGGACTCTGGGATCATGACCCAAGCCAAAGGCAGATGCCTAACTGACTAAGCCATGCAGGTGCCCCTTTATATCTCACTGTTGATCAGGGGTGTTTGTGCTTCAAGTGTTCAAAAACCCAGTCCTGGGGTACCCGGGTGGCTCAGTCGTTAAGGGTCTGCCTTTGAATCAGGTCATGATCCCAGCGTGCTGGGGTCGAGCCCTGCATCGGGCTCCCTGCTCAGCAGGAAGCCTGCTTCTCCCTCTCCCACTCCCCCTGCTGTGTTCCCTCTCGCTGTCGCTCTCTCTTTGTTAAATAAATAAATAAAATCTTAGAAAAAAAAAAGGAAACCAACGGCTCGTGTAAATGAAAAGTTCAGTGGGTCCAGCTTCAATCACAATTGGATCGAGGGATTCAAAAGATGTCATCAGGATTGTGTTGCTGTCTCTGGGCTCTGATTTGCCCTGAGAATGAGACTGTGTCCACCCCCCACCTTGCACCTTGCCAAATCCAATCACCCTCTGTGGCAATAGAACAACCCCTGATTTTCAGCTGGCCACCCCAAATAGAAAACATTTCCAGTCTCCCTTGCAGCAAAATGTGGTCATGCGACTAAGTCTTGGCCAATGGGATGTGGACAAATTCTTTTTCCCCAGGAACTTCGGGTAAAGTCCCGGGATGGAGGCTCATTGGATCCATTTGGGTCACATGCCCACCCTGAGCCAATCACGGTGCCCCAGGAAATGGAGTGTTCTGACTGGCTAGTCGAGGGAGTGCAGGCGCAAAAGCACCCCAGGCAGGTGTACCCCTGTGGGGGTGTTTACCCTAGTTTGAGAAGCTCAGCCCAAGCGAAACGCTTTCACCGTGTGTACTATAATTACTTTCCAGATTAAAAGAACTGCACATTCCTCGTAAAATAAAATCCCAACAGTAAAAATATCCCAAGAGTAAAACTTTTCCAAAGAAATCACAAATCTCAACACCCAGAATGTATGTTATTTTACCAATACAGGATCATATGGTACATACTGTCTGGCCACACTGCCTAACACCGTGCAAACCCTCAACCGCCAGTCACTATTAGGATTATTTATTCCCACCCAGACTGGGAAGAGATGTTGATTAGCAAGATAATACCAGTATCTTACATTTTTGGAATGGTTGCTATGTGCCAAGCCGGGTTTTACAGACAAGAAGGCTGAAGCTCAGATAAGTCACCTGCCCAGGGTCATACGGTAAGAAAGTGTGTCTGCCGCAGAAACCGGCACTGTTCCTGACCCCCAAGTGGCCGCGGGGTGGGGTGGGGGGCCTGAGGGCCCCTGGGGCCTCCCGCGGGACCAGCAGGGCTGCCTCCTCCCGCTTATCTCAGCCCAGGCTGCGTGTGGTCCCGCCCCCTCGGGGGAGCTGCCACTTGGAGGCGCCTGGCTGGGAAGGGCCTGGTCAGCTGTGTCCGGCGGAGGCAGCTGCTGACCAGCTGTGGATTGTGCCAGGGGCGGAAGGGGGGGCAGGGGCCCTGGGCCCCCCGTCGCGGGGGGTTGCATCATGGATCGCCTCTGGGCGTACCTCTGGCCTGGAGTCGGCTCTCTCTGTCTCTTGCTCGCTGGGGCCGCCTGGGCTTCCCCACCCAAACCCCTGGACTCCAAGTTTGAAAGTAAAGGTAAGGGTGGATCGGTGTGGGACCCGCGCACTAGGTCCTGGGGGCAAGGCTCAGGCCTGAACTTCCAGCCTGGGTCCTGGGGGCCATATCGGGTTCTGAACCTCCAGTTTAGGTCCTCAGGGCCAAGCTGGTCTCTGAACCTCTTGGACTGGAACCTGGTGTAGCATACTGGGTTCTAAGACTCCAGACTGGGTCTGAAGGGGGACATGAGGTTCCCGTTTTATCTTTCCAGGGAGCCTGGGACATGATATATCCTAATGGGGCAGGGGCGGTGCTGGGTCTAGGCCTCGACGTCTAGAGTCCCTGAGGAGAAAGGGACCTAGCCGACCCTGCACTGGAGGGAGGGAGGACAAAGCCCGGGTCGAGGCAGAGGGCCCGGGCCGCTGGCGACTGTAAACATGGTTTGTATGCGGGCGCCAGATCCCTCGGCCTGCCGGGTTGAGGGAAGGGGCGGGGGAGGGGGCCACGGTTGGCGTTATCGGGCCGCCGGCAGCCTGCCGGGGCCGATAGGGGAGCCCGCCACCTCCGCACACTTCAGTGACACGCCCGTCCTGGCCTGGGGCGGGGCCGGCAGCGGGAGGCGGAGGCCTGGCTAGCTGCGCGCAGCCCAGCGCATTGTGGGGTGGGCGGGGACGTGTGTGGGAACAGTAAGGCAAGCAACCTGTGCTTGGGAGTTCGGGGGGCACCACCTCTGGGGACCCTTCGAGGGGCCCCGCTTGGGGCAGAGAGCGAGGCGGGGCTTTTTTCTTATCGGTTCGCACAGGCGGCAGGAGGGAGGGGGAGGACGCGGTGGCCCGAAGACAGGGCTGCCCCGACCCCCTCCCCCTGTTCCCACCCGCAGCGGCCCTGCTGGCTGCCCGCGGGCCCGAAGAGCTTCTGTGCTTCACCGAACGGTTGGAGGACTTGGTGTGTTTCTGGGAGGAAGCGGCAAGCGCCGGGGTCGGCCCCGACAGCTACAGCTTCTTCTACCAGCTCGAGTGAGTGCGGCGGGGCAAGTGGAGCGCCCCCACGCTCTGAGGACGGGGTGGGTGGGCAGGACAGAGCGCACCCCGGAGCTCACGCTTTGGGACATCTGCTGGGGTCAGGGGCCGGATGACCACCTGCCCAGGTGGTCACTGGTGGGATGCCCGCGGGGTCAGGGCTGACACGGCCCCCTAGTGGCTGGGGTTGGAACCCTCCCGCGATCTCCGTTGGAGGGCGATCCCAAACTGTAGGGCAGGGACAGCACCCCTCCGACAGGACTAAGGCGTCGCGTGCGTCGGGGCTGGGAGGCCCCTTGGCGGTGGTGCCCAAAATGCGCCCACGGTCCAGGCAATAACAACCTGTCGCACCCCCACCCCCAACTTGCTCCCTCGCCTCTCTGGCCCCTTGGCGCACAGGGGTGAGCCATGGAAGCCATGCAGCCTGCACCAGGCGCCCACGGCTCGCGGCGCTGTGCGTTTCTGGTGCTCGCTGCCCACGGCCGACACGTCGAGCTTCGTGCCCTTAGAGTTGCGCGTCACAGCGGTATCTTCGGGCACTCCACGCTATCACCGTATCATCCACATCAACGAAGTGGGTAAGTGCGCAGGGAACGGGGACCTTGTCGGGTGAGGGAGTCACGGTCACCGCCCGCCTGATCAACCCCTCTCCTCAGTGCTCCTGGACCCCCCAGCGGAGCTGCTCGCGCGGCGGGCCGACGAGGGCGGCCACGTGGTACTGCGTTGGCTCCCGCCTCCTGGGGCCCCCGTGGCCAGCCTCATCCGCTACGAAGTGAACATCTCCTCTGGCAACGTCGCGGGGGGCGCACAGAAGGTGAAGCTGCCCCTACCGCCAGCCCCAAAGGCTCCACGGTGGACAGCCCCGCCTCCTCCCTCCAAACCCCGCCCAGATGGTCACCACGGCCCCGCCCCCTAGCCGCGCCCCTCCAGGCGCCGCCTCTGACGCCCGTCGTCTCCCTGCCCGAGACACCTCCACGCCCACTGACACGTCTTCTTTCCCAGTGCCTCCCCAGCCCACCTGGACCCAATCCCACTTACCCCAGTGTCCCAAATACTAGATCCCTTCAAGGTCCCAACCCTCTAGGCTCTGGCCCCGCCCAAGTCCGCCCTCTGCTCCCTGGGGCCCCGTCCTAATTGGCCCAGAGCCTTCCTGGAAGCCGCTTCTTGCTTTCAGTGCCCTTCCCCCTCACGGCTGCGCTTGGGAGCTGTCCTTCCTTTCTCTGATTGGCTCAGTGCCGCCCCCCAGGCTTTTCTCTGCTCGCCCCGCCCCCTCTGGCCACGCCTCTCACCCAGGCCCCGCCCCCAGGTGGAGATCCTGGACGGCCGCACTGAGTGCGTGCTGAGCAACCTTCGGGGCGGAACGCG